CAGGGGCTGGAAGGGGCTGCCCAGGGAAGGGGTCGAGTCCCCAGCCCTGGGGGGATTTAACAGCCGGGCAGAGGCGGGGCTGAGGGCCGGGGTTTGGGGGTGGGCTGGCAGGGGTAGGGGGGCGATTGGGCTGGGGGAGCTTAAAGGGCTTTGACAACCCAAACCATTCTGGGATCGGATGGATTGCATTTGGTAGATTCGACCTCAGGGGTTTGTGGTCATTTTTTTCCCCTCAAAGTTCCCTCTAAAATGCCCGGAACTCTCTGAACTCACGGGCGTTTTGCGAAGTGTGCAGGCGATGAGCCCGTCTTATGCGCTCCGTGGACACATAGAGCATCTTCCAACTCAGATTTACTGAAAAGTCCTTTTTTCCCCCCACTATGAGAGCAAGGAACCTTTAAACTCCAGCTTAGTAGATTAAAAGCAGTCGAGAGACGCGTGGCTGATAAGGAGATAAGCTGGGTATTCATTATCTTCATAAAACAGAATCGTGCCTATTCTGAAAAGCCGCAGATGATAAATAGATGCCAAACCTTCCCACCTCTTTGGCCGGTGCTTTAATATACCTATAACTTACTTCACGGAGGGCAGGGCTTCGGTTCTGCCGCGTTCCTGGTCATGCGCAGGTTTGCGACAGAAGTAAGCTCACTAAAACGGGAGGGACTCGGCGGTGCCTTCACATTCTTTGCTGAGCCTGTGCGCTGCGATTTTTGACGTGGAGGAATTGCCGGCGGCGCAATGCTGGACTATAAACACGTGAATTGCTAAATGTCTTGTCTTGGCTTATCCCTTTCCTTCCCGCGGGATTTTGGAAGGATTTTTGGAAGGGTTTTTTGGAGCTAAGCAGCTTGCGGAAAAGCGCGGGAGCTGATGTGCGACCTGACGTGATTTTCCTAGCAGAGAGAATCCCAGCATGGCAAGGGTTGGAAGGGACCTCGGGAGATCCCCCAGTCCAACCCCCCTGCTAGAGCAGGCTCTCCTAGAGCATGCTACACAGGACTTCGTCCAGGTGGGCTTTGGGTATCTCCAGAGAAGGAGACTCCACGACCTCCCTGGGCAGCCTGTTCCAGTGCTCTGTCACCCCATTAATGCGCCCAACGTGGGAGGGTGGGCGAATGCGGCTGAGGCGCTAAGGAAGCGTCGCTGAGCCCTCCGAGCGCTGGAATTTATCCTGGCTCTTCTTCTCTTGGTAAAACACACCCGTGTGACCCTGCTGTCGCTGCCCACTGACCACAGACCTGCCGGAGGAGAGGGGAGCAGCCGCCCCGGCCGGCGCCGAGACCCCATCGGGCCCCGACAAACCTC